AAGTAATAAAACTTTTGATCGTTTCACACGGAATGTTACAACAAACTGTGTCCCGATGTTTCTTTTCAGTTTATTACTTATTATACTAACTAGTAGTACTACTAATATTACCATTGTTTATTATCTAACATTGGTTAACAATTTTATAGAAGACGCCACTCTCATTCTGCGCTTAATATCAAGGAGCTACGAAGTACTGGTTTTTACTTGAATTGATTTACCGGGTTTTCAGTCGGTAGACTTTTATGGTTGGAATGAAGAGAAAATATTAGTAAGGCACCCATAAGGATTTTCTCTAATTATCTTCCACCAAGGCGATCTTTCGGGTAATCCCTGAAAAGAGTCCTGATTCAGCAAGAGATTCAGTTGAGTCTCTCGTGAAAAGCAAATTGATTTGCAACTGAGTGTATTTCGCGAAAGTCTTCATTCTGGTGGCAATATAAACAGACAACCCGTCTTTCTCCTCGTCCAAAGTATACAAATCTTAGACGAGGACCCCAAAGGGTGCCCCCATTTCATACTGGGATCCTTTGGTATGATAAGTGGAGCTGCTTGTGAGATATGCGGTGATTTCAACTATGCTTTGGTGTTCTCAAGGGACCTTCCGAGTTTCCATCTGGCAACACCACAAGCTACAAGGCAAGTAAGAAAGCAACCAACCAGCATACCAAAAACACAAACGTACAGACAAAAACAAGCGACACAAACAGATAAACAAATAAACAATAAACAAAAATAAACAAATAAATAGATAAACAAACATATAAAACCGAACGCAAAGGTCGCTGAACGAATGCTTCTTCAATAAACTGATTATCGTTTCCAACGGACACACTGATCGGCATACCAATGCTTTTTTCACGGGGACTCACCTGAAACCCTGATCAATGTTTCGTTTGTGATTTTCGTCAACTAAAAAACAAACTACATAAAAATTACTATGTTTGCCAGGTTGCTTGCATTTTTGATTCAAGTAGGTTGACGGAAACTCGGGGACTGTTCCTATTTGTTGATCCCTAATTGAAAGGACAAAACTGGTTGTGGGCTATTGAAGAGTTCTCAACAACCGTGTGAGTAGTTTTCTTTATGAAAGTAGACTTCGATATCCCGAATATCGTACCAACTGAAACATGAGGCGGCCTTTGTGCAGCACGTTCAGTTTTGAAGAATATCATAAACAAGAAATTCAGTTGAGTCTCTCGTGAATACTAAACTGATTTGTGAATGAGTGTATTTCTCGAACAATCAATGTATTTTCCCTGCTTATGCGCTTACAATGTATGGAATACAGTACCCAGGAGACATGCGGATAGGCCCAATTGAAAGGGCGAGACCGCATATCAAAGAGTTTTCACCAAAATTGTGTACTGTGTTCTTTACGGTCATCTTTTTGGTTCATGTTAAAAGGTATTGTTTGGATTGCAGCCCGTAGGACCAGTGTGGCTGTGTAAGTTCTGGTTGTTCATCTCCCAAAAACACCACCATTTCTTTCTTCTCAGTCTGTGATGGAGGACAAGCGTCTTAATGAACCGGCAATTTAGTTTTATTAGTATGCAGATAAATAAGGATAAAGGGCAAGGGAAACTTCGGTTTTTCGTCAATTAGAGACCACAATTAGACAAGATAAACGTAGAACTACCGGAAATTTTCTACGAGGAAAGTGATATCCTTTTGGTGAAAACATGACCGCGCAAAGACATGTTTGCTGATCTGCCATAGTAAGGAAGTGGAATCTTTGTAATGTACTACTCATAAGGTTCCTGAAAATCCGTCAACAGCCCACGACCGGTTTCGTCCTTTTTGGGGCTCATCAGGTAGGCGCAGTCCCCGGGTTTCCGTCAGCTTTATGTTCCACTTGAAACCAAATTGCACGGAATTTGCGAATATACACTCATTTGCAAACTAATTTGTTCTTTTTTAGCGCAGAAACCAAAATATCTTCGTGCAGACAGCTCTCACAGGTCAAAGGAAAAGCAGGAAGCAGTACTGCACTGTTTACCCTTCTGTGCGCAGCATTTACAGCAAAAATTCGTCTAAAAATAAACTGATTGCCCTTTCTGAATGATGATTTGTTTGTGAATGTCGTGTACTCCTCGGAAGCCTGAGCTTCGTTCAAATTTTTGGCTAGTAGTATGGTATGACTACTCAAAATCTGAAAGCAATCTGCCGCCGGCTTCGTCCTGCCTCCAAGTTCCACAGTAATTAATACAAACGTTTAATTTTTAACTCACACGCAAGATGAAATTGCCGGAACTAAAGACACGATGAGGTTCCGCTTATTTATCATCACTCTGAGATGGCCTCTCTGCTACAGACTTTGCAGATCAATATCGATATCCTTCCAACCACAAGAGATCCCACCAAGTCTCTAGTTCCACAAATTTTAAGATTAAGCTACTCAGTTTTATGAATTAATTTGACGGCTTCCATGTTCCGCCGGTAGTGACAAATGAAAAATATCTAAGTAACCTAATGAGCAACCTCATGAGTAGTACATCACAAAGATATACATGTATCGCGATATCTCGAATATCGTAGTGACTGAAACAAGAGGCTGCCTGGTGCAGCATATTCAGTTGCCTGAGAACAGCATAAACGAGAGATTCAGCTGGGTTCCAGGTGATTCTCTCGAAAAACCAAATTAGTTTGCAAATGAGTGCATATTCGCTAACTAAATAAAAAATTTTGGGACTATGACAGTTTACTGAGTGAATGGACAAAAAAGCCTGCGGTTTCGGGTTGAGAAGATCGATTGCTTTACATAAACGTCAGTAGTGAAACCTCTGATGAAGGAACAACACAAATCTGATCCACTTGGTTCCCCATTTATTCTTGTTGCTAGGGGTTTTTAAACATTAGGATGGTTTTTGTTACCCAACCAATCGGAGTAAACTTCAGAAGCTTGTCGCCATGCCTTAAACAAATGGTCTGTTTGACGACAGTAAACATCCAGTGAAAAAGAAGACTTACTTTCATCGGTCGCCCAACTCGGACTGCTTCGATGGTCATTGTGGGAGCTCTTCCTTCGGGTCGGGTTGATGAAGCTTTTGGCCTGAGTTTCACTGGTTTCTCCACCTCACCGATCGACTCATCCAGCGTGTCGTCCTCATCCAAACCATTCTCCATGATGATCACGCTAGACAATTTAATCCAGGGTTGGGCCTTGGGTGGGACTATAGATATGTTTATATGATCTGGCAAGCACAGTGTCAAGCACTCAGTTTCTAGATAGGCACCATCTCATCGGGTAATTCTCATGCAGATGTTTTTGACAAGCATATCACCGCTGGACACAGAATCCACGTGTGTTTGAAGTACATGGATCACGCAAGCAAAACGCAAACGCGTCCAGGATGTGCGCGCATGTGTTTGTATGCATGGTTTGGACGCAACCGTTGCTTGTGGGCATGCACGCTCGTTAGAATTTTCGCAACCCGTGTTCGTACTTACCAGTGGTTTGTCCCCGTTAATACCCACGCATACAAAACCAATGAAGCTGCAGCAAGCACCCTATCGACCGGCCGTTTTGTCCTACGCACACTCAGATTATTAAAGCCTCATCGATCGGGAGTAAGGTGTGCAGGCGGCTAACGTAGGATACGGGCACGATCACACGGACTACGAGGGACAGGGTAGAAAAAAGGGGGATAAAAGTCGGTGGTTTGTTCAGGTCCACCTTTTTCCACATGCGAGCAGTCCATACATTAAGCAGCTTTGGTTATATCAGTCACAAAAGAGTATGAAGGAGTATTTTCCCTATTCTATAGTAAATTAAGTATTATAGAATATGGAGTAAGCAAAAACAATTTCAGCAATTGTGCCCTATACCGTATTCCTCTGAAGAGAGACCATTCTAATGAGAGGTCATGCACTGCGGGTATTGTTCATTGGCTTACTCCAGAGATGTTGAGACGTGCGGAAATGAGTAGCCTGTAAACTAGGGCACCACTCCAAGTCACCAATAAACAAACCAATGAGTAGCTACGTAAGTAATTAGTTAAGCAAGCAAGCATGTCATCACGTAAGTAAGTAAGTAAGTAAGTAAGTAAAGTAAGTAAGTAAGTAAGTAAGTAAAGTAAGTAAGTAAGTAAGTAAGTAAAGTAAGTAAGTAAGTAAGTAAGTAAAGTAAGTAAGTAAGTAAGTAAGTAAAGTAAGTAAGTAAGTAAGTAAGTAAAGTAAGTAAGTAAGTAAGTAAGTAAAGTAAGTAAGTAAGTAAGTAAGTAAAGTAAGTAAGTAAGTAAGTAAGTAAAGTAAGTAAGTAAGTAAGTAAGTAAAGTAAGTAAGTAAGTAAGTAAAGTAAGTAAGTAAGTAAGTAAAGTAAGTAAGTAAGTAAGTAAAGTAAGTAAGTAAGTAAGTAAAGTAAGTAAGTAAGTAAGTAAAGTAAGTAAGTAAGTAAGTAAAGTAAGTAATCGGTGTGCCGAACCACCTCCTCGTGGTGCTGACTGGGTAGCTTGAACGTCAGTCTGGTTGAGCTAAGAGTTCAGCAACTCCAGACAGGGACAACCACCCTGTTTGGTTACTTTCGACAATGTGTAACACAATCCAGCTGGCGCCTCCTCACCAGTTCCAACCAGTACACAGTACAAACTCGAGGGGTTCACGCGTGAGGAATGTGAAAAATGCTGTAACTCAAAAGCTGGCTTGGCAGTCACCGTCGAGTTCATGCTCTTGAAAGTGTTGACACGAACGTCGCCACCCAGTTGGTTTGCACTGGTTGTTCCCACATTTTTTCGACTTTGGTCAACACCGCTAACACACACCCAGATAAACTTGTCCAAGTGAAGATATCTGTTGCTCACTGGTTTCAAAGAGTGTCACAGTCACTCTTGCGCCAGACTAAAAATCCAGTTGTGCTTGTGACATGAAAACCGGGCTGTTTGTGATATTGGGGAAATATTCCCCTGGTCTATTAGCTATCAGTATCAAAAACAGGTTACGTGCGCTTAACTAGCAAGCACAGCTAGATGAATCGTTATCTATTGGTCATGACCATACTATCGGCCAAATAGCGGCTTATTCGTCAGAGTCTGAAGATTATAGCATCTAGTTTAAACACACCGTGGATTGCACCGTATCACTCTTGGAATTCAATTCCGGTAATTCGCTCGATAGGGTTAACCTTCTGGCATAAAGACACCAGAGAATGTCCCGTCACCTCTGGATCTCTGCGCCTCCGAGAAATCTCCACTCACGTTAAAACTTTTCTCCCGACGCCGTCGTCAACTGGGTGCTGGTCAACCGATAACAGATCCAGCGAGCCAACTACACGACCACCGGACCCCATACCACCAAAGAGAGGGAAATGCTGTACTCGATTGGTCGTGTAAGGAAGTATACACTACTATACACTCTACCCTTCCTCTGGGTGCCGAGCAGTAAAATAAAAATGGGTGCTCTCTGCTCCAAAACATGTGGATAGCCAGCCGATTCGCTCAATACTGCTATCCGACTGAAGTTTGATCGAGCTAAGTACACGTAAGGAAGCCGGCCGTAGGACCTGTTTGATGGACATTTCGTTCCAGGATCCGAACAAACTCAGCATGCTCCATCGGTTCAAGGCCAACGCCATTGCTAGGTATTTCAACTTACTCCTTTTACCTGAGGTTGTCCACCGCAGCTGTGTCGTGCTGGTTTTACCTTAGTTCCGTGGATCCCAAATCCGACTTCACCGGATCAACTGAGACCGATCTCCGTACCTTCGATTATTATTGGATGCTTTCATAAGGTGCCTACTGATCACTAGAGCGGTAGACTGTAACCACCCTCACCACAGTTTGCACTTCTACATCGAGACGGTTGTTTGGAAGCAACATCACTGTTACACGCCTTGCTCAGTCGATCTTCGGCGACTCCTTCTAACCTCAGCTTGGCGTTCGTTAATACTTCGAGAGCTTTTGATTCGGTTTCGCATAATACAGTTGTCAGATCTGTCAAGACGTTTGGAGCGCCGTCAACTCTAGTACAGTACATCATGAAGTCCTGTGAAATGCTATAGCAGTTTGCCCTAATTCCACGGCTCACTATCACAGAAGTGCGATGCAGGAGGATCCACCCTTCACATTGTTGTTCAACATGGCAGTGGATATGGTTTGTGGATTTTCGATGTCACAACTACGGTACCAGTTCCAAGACACCTGTGTGGATGGTCCTGACTTTGCTGACGACTTGGTCGTGTGTGCGGAAAGTCAGGTTCACCTTAAAGGGAAGTTGAAATCTGCTGCGGCCAAGTTAGGAAGAGCTGGTATGACGATCAACACCCGAAAGACGAAAGTCTCTGTTTGTTGTTGGGACAGAAAACATGGAGCAAAATCGGTCTCGTTCAAAACTTTTTGCTTTGCCGAGGCACTCACCAATCTTCTGGGTTGGCCAAACACCAGGACATATTTGGATACCCCCTTACCTTCAAGGGGAAAGGAGTCTGCAACCACCGAGAGCAGCTGTACAAACTCTTGATGGGGTGAGGGGCGCCACGTGGAGGCCGCATCAAAGGGTTGAGATCTCAAGGAACTACCTGATACCGAGGTCAACCTATTCTTTTGTGCTCGGTCAAGTCCACCGAAACGCGCTCAAAAGGTACGACGGTTGCACCAAGCAATCTATATTTGGCTGGCCATGCCTACCAAAGGACACCCCAATCAGCTAAATCCGTGCCACCAAACAATATGAGGATCCCAGGGACCCTACCTGAGGTTACTAATCCCGATACAGCAGAAAACGCATATGCAAAGACTTCTGTCTACTCAGTGCCGAGTACTACGCAGTGTGGCCAATGCTGATGCATCTGGTAAGGTTGGTGCGATCCGAGTTCAAGTTGCATGCGTGAACACCAAGAAAGAGTGCTGACTGTTTAGCGCCATAGTTCGGGTGATTAACGGGAATCGGCCGCTTCGCCTCTCTCATAAAGATGGCTTGTGTTTCTAGCAAACATGTTCTCTTAGGTATTGATGCGCGGTATTCAAGTTCGGCGTAACCTGCAGACGCCGTGCAACTGTGATAGATGCAAGCATGGTCTCGAATGGGCGCGTAGTGACTATGTGGAATGGTAAACAATCGGTGGATCGTTGGCCAAACCTCTCTGAAACGATGACTATATCAATTTTGTGGATAGTTTGAACCTGATTTGTAAAGCAGACCTGGTATTCCGCTGTGAAACACCATCTCCGAGGAGTTGAGGACACCTTATTTGATGACTTTCATCCAGCCCGATATAAACACTGCTCATAAGCGCCGTGCAACTGTGATAGATGCAAGCATGGTCTCGAATGGGCGCGTAGTGACTATGTGGAATGGTAAACAATCGGTGGATTGTTGGCCAAACCTCTCTGAAACGATGACTATATCAATTTTGTGGATAGTTTGAACCTGATTTGTAAAGCAGACCTGGTATTCCGATGCATATTAAGCATATTATGCGATTTCGCGACATAAATTTGCATCGGCATATACCAGTAAACAATAATTTGAATACCAGTGTGGGTTTAGCTGTCTTGTGGCCACCCTGCCTTTAGTTGATCTGACATTTGGGATCCCCTATGGAATTCACAGTCCCTGAAACGGTGTAAAGAAGCCCTCGTAATCCTACGATTTGAGACTCTTGTTGATGAACCTCCATTTGAACGACTTGGATTTTGGGGCCCAAGTGAGTGCTGGAAACAATCGATAACTAGGAGCAAAGAAAGTCTCACTATACTAAAGAGGCTACATGGATCAAACGACTCTATCCTTGAAAATTTCCTACCCACTTTCCTCATCAGATCGTTCGTCACATCAACAGTGTGAAAAATATCTTGACACAGTTTGATCTACTGCAACACAGAGCACGTACAGAAATTCGTGGAACAAACACTGCGACAGAAACAACGTTGTGTCCAATTCACTCGGCCAACTAACCTAGCACTTGCAAGTTCCAATCAAACCAGAACCTAAATTGTTAATGACAACATAAGTTGTCTATCGTCAGTCTGCTAGACTTACAGCCTTTTCCGGAACCCAAAGATGCGCGTTCGCTAGCCAAGAACTGTTGTACATGGTCCTTCTCCGATGTAGAAGTTGACAGATACATGTTTTTGCTCCCCTGCACCATTTGGGGGATACAGAACGCATGCGACTTGACATCGAATCAATTGTAAATCAACTTAGTGTTTATACTGCAACACAATATTTCTATCCTCACAGGCGAGTAAGCGACCAGATGCGTAAAACCAGGAGATTTCTGCCTGCCCATTGGCTACTTTGGTCATCAATTATTACATCGTTGTCTTTTTGGATCTTGTTAGTTCGATAAACAAATATACTAATTTTGAAAGTCATTGCTTAAAATAACGGATTTTTGTCGGT